ACCCGGAAACGGAACGGCCCGTCGTCATCATCCCGCAGCGCCACCTGCACCGGCGCCCGCGGCACACTGCGCCAGGTGTCGTCGGCGCTCCAATCGCCGACAGATAGTGCCAGCCACACGCGACTGGCCTCTATCCAGCACGCATCCATTCGTTTCGAGTCAAACTCAACCAGGATGGAATCTCCGTCGTCGGAGATGTCCTGAATGTATCCCAGCCAATAGGCATCCGCGTCCTGGCCTGCCCGCACCACCACCGTGTTCTGGTAGCTGAAGGAACGCCCATCCGCTGCTGTTAACCTCCGCCGAAACGGCGGCAGCGCTGCTGAAGAAGACATCATTCTCTTGTCGCCACCTGATACTGCTTGGTCACACCTTATACTGCTCGTGTCACGTGTGACGTGGGTCATCAACTAGCGTGAGTATTGTGGTGGCAACATATCTGATTGTATACAAATAATTATATATGGCGCTTGCCTAGAAATTAGACAACTGGCGGTTTATTCCTCTCAGTTCTTCGCCGAGTTGCGGGCAGTGTATCGGCGTTTTGAAGTATGAACTTGCTTGGGGTTTCTCTGTATCGCGATCGTATAAGATAGCAGATAATAAATCGGGGTCAAACTGAAATGTGGACTGTTCCGTCTTCTGCCTGCTGGCTGTTCAGAACGGAGTTGTGACCCTGTCTGCCGACGGTCTTGCTAAGCAGTACAGTTAGCGTTTTACCTGTAATCATGGGCAGCCTGCGTATTAGCCGCGCTATTAGGTGAGCTTAGAAAGAACGCTATTGGGTGAGCTTATCGAGTACAATAGAAGTGCGCCTTGCACTCGTTACATACTGTTCTTGCAAAATCGCAGTTTTACAGTAGTTGCTCACTCACCCGGATTACGCTGAAGTCGGTTAGACCATTGTCTGACCGAATCAAAGACCCGTGTGTCGAATAGCCACAGCGTCGACTTGAATGGATCAGTCACCGATTCATTTGCCTCGTTTTTATTAATTTTATAGTATATCTTTGTCGTACGCCATGGCCCAGTTAAGAGTAACTGAGTAATTCTTGTACGGTAATTCGCAATCGTCATCGCATAATTCAACAGCGCCTCTACACGACTCTGCAAAGAAGAGATTACAACCGGCCAGTCAGCTGCTTGGCCCGGTCAGATTGCCAGCGTTATGCCCTTGATGTACAGTCGAGCGTCGAGCCAGCGCATTAGGTGCTTAAGCATCTGCAGGTTTTGTAGGAACGCTAGGTAGGCACTACTGCACCAGACAAGGCAACGGCAGCGTGCCGTCGTACACAGAATCATGGCTGCCTCAGCCGCCTTACCACCGTTCCGACAAATGCTGACGACGGCGGATGGACGAGCCTTCGGCTACCAGAACACAGCGGTGGTGCGGACGGACAGTGACACGGATGCCTATTGGCTGGCCTTCATTCAGGACATCTCCGATGACGGCCATTTTATACAGGTCCACTTTGACGCGAAACGGGTGGACATGTGTTGGATACCCGCAACACACGTGTGGTTGGCGCTGTCTGCCGGCGATAGGATCGCAGATAAGAGCTGGTATAATAAGGAGCCCGTGCAGGTGGCGCTGCGGGATGAGGATGACAAGCCCTTCCGCTTCCGAGCGGCGGTTTTCAAGGGCAGCATTTGCGGCTACCATAAGCCATACATTGGTATGTTTTTTTATCAGAACATACCTTGCGGCCGATGGCGCAGAGCGGGACGGGGCCTCCGCCGGGAACTTCGAAGTGGTGGACCGCTGCCAGGTCAACCCGGCACTACCTTTCGTCCACACATCGCCCGCCACCGCCAGCAACGCCCTCCATTATTCCAAGCATGTTATCCCATTTCCCGGAGCGTCATCCGTTTTACAAGAAGCCGCCGACAGATCCGGTCTCATCCGCTGCTCCACCAAGCCATCAGCAGCCACGCTTATTTCCAGGCGTTTCACGACAGCTGTCGCTTCCACCTGCGCATCGGGCCGGACAGCTGTACCTTCATCGTGTTGAGCGCCCCGACCGACGTCATGCCGGCCGAGTGGACGAAAGCCACGCTGTTGCAAGTGCTGCAGCAGCACTGCGCCGCCCAGGTGGGGTTCACCGCGCGGCTGACCAGCCCGGCGTTCACGCAGTGCTGGAGTCCTGGCGATAGGAAGCGGAGCCGCTACGAGGATTCAGAAAAGCCTCAGTGGATGATCGTTCAGTCGTTGCATCGCTTGTACGTTGCCTCTTTATGGGCCAGTGCCACGCTAGTTGATTGAACCAGCGCCGGACCCGCTCGTCTGCCACCTCCGCTATGGAAGGAGAGCCTCGCTCAGCTGGACCTCCAGGCGCAGGCCACCGCCAAAAGGTCAGTGATTTTTCACCCGTTTCGCAAGCCAACACTTGCACTGACACGACGGGATGACCTTTGCCTATTTCCAGGGTATGTGCATTGTGGCAGCAGATTCTCAGCGATCCGCGCAATACCAAGCACATCATTTTCCGCTGCCAATCCTGCAGTAACGGCGCCGTACGTTGCCGCAGCCTACGCGACCACACCGCGCTGCTGCTGCTAACGCGCTCCCTTCGCCCCACCACGAAAAGCCTGACGATCATCGGGCCCGGTTTCGGCTGCCGCTTGTCTAACGTCTGCTTCCATTGCTTGTGGGACTGGCAACCCCGCATACCGCTGCTAATCCTGCGCGACTGCGACCTGGATTTCGATGGCCACCATGACTTTACCTTGGAAGTTACGAAATTTCGCTACTTTTGCCAGCGCGCATCATCGTTCGCAACTGGACGCTGTGTGGTCTTTTTGGGGGCGCCATGCACTGTTTCCTCGGCGTATCTTTTCAGCATCCCGACTATTCCCTCCCGCCGACGGAGCGGCAGTTGATGGCCTCATTGCCTACGCCCGGATCGCGACTGGCGATCGACCAGATGAAAATCATCCTAGCCAGCCTGGCGATTCACTGCGAGCCGAACGACGCAGCCATGGCCGTCCGTCTCATGTGGGCGGTCAACACACATTGTCCGCCGGTCAGCGATGACCTTTATGAAAAAGTGGCACAGGTGCACCAGCGCTGGGTGCGCAACCTAGCCTATCCCGCGGAATGGTACGGGATTCGACGCTATCTCACCGCGTAAGTACCGTCGGAATACGATCTTGCCAAACACATGAAGCACCATTACATGGTATTGATGTTCAATGGGTCAACGAATTGTAAAGTTGAATTGAAGTTCGTTTGAAAGTTTGAGGAGATTCACAACTTTTTGTCGATGTAGAAACGGTCTTCGTGCAAGTCCATCTCAAAACGAAGTCACGCTTATGGCAAGGAAATCACAGCAGACAGGACACAACCAGCCTATGTTTTCACTTTCTCCCACTTCAAGTCATGACTCGGTTTTGAGATGGGCTTGTACTTGGTTACATAACTGTACGTTTGCGTGTAAATCTTGAAAAAAGAGCGATCCATAATGAGGTTTTTGACAGTGTTATCCGGTGTTCTGTGTGCTACTGGCAGGTTTAGCGGATTTTATGGCGACGGGACAGCTCGGTGCTGGGATGACGTGGACTTGCGGACGGTGGATGTGGGCCAGTTCAGTAAGTGGGCGGTGCTGGGCATCAGCGAGATCTTTCCCGTCTGACGAACATCTCGAGATTCTCGACCATGTCAACGCGCGCTTATGGATGCAGTTATTCTTTGATGCGAGTACAGCAGACGGTCGGATGGCTTAACCGTATGTTACTGCAGCACTTACCGGACAATCCTGAGTGTTTCTTACTCCGTCGTTTCCGACGATTTTTTTCACTCTCTGTTCTCTCGATCCGTTCTACGGTAGCTCATAGTCATGCAGTTTGTCCACACTGCTTTTGTTTCTCGATGTTTTTGCTTCCAGAATTACATGACATTTTCGAACTAAGTTTTGCGGATTGGCTGTTCATCAGTACTTCAGTAAAATTGTAAAATCAAAACCGCTGACTCAGTTTTTACGTACGGTGCGATACTTAGTTATTATAAAGACGTTATACAGGTACGATAAATCAACTAATTGCGTATTGCAGTTGTAGAATCGCATAAAGTTTCTGTGTGGAATATTTTACAAAGTACACTTATGGCCAACCAGTAAATAAAGTAAAAAAATAAATAAGTATGACACATAAATATACTTGTATAGATATGACCAGTAAACAAGTAACAAAATCGGTACGTAGGAAAGCTATATAAATAGTACAATTAATATCACACTACGAAAACGTGTGCAGTTGTATATTGTCGGAATTCGTCGCATTGTGATGATGTGATCGATTGATTTAACTGTCTGCGTTATGCAGTTAGGCAGCAATGGGAATAATTATAATGTAGTGAAGTCCAGAACAAGAAAAACACCCAACTAGAGCAAAGATTAACCGTGTGGATTAATTGGGAAGGGACGGGATCTATCAAGCAGAAGATATTACTTATAAAGCTGGTGATTCGGGATTCAGCAACCAATAAAGTAAGGGGAAAACGTTTAATGAGGCCCTGGGGTCTTGCAAAGTTCTTTGGTGTCCTGTCTTATAAGCGTTTCAGCAGTTTTGGATAGTATCGATCAGTCGCTATAAGTTCCGTCGCTAAACGTGCTTACAGATATATCGGTAAGCTCCGTTTTCAATGGCGGAACGTTAACCTATTGATATGCTGCTCAAGCTCGGACTCGACAAACCCTTTTCGGCTTTTCCCACCCTAAATTTCGCGACGAGTGCACGCATGCGCTGCCACACCGCCAATGCCAAAGGGTAACTCGATTTTACTGACAGCCGATAGGATGCACAGAGTATCCATGCCCTTGCAGCCGTTTTTCAAAATACCAATACTTCCGGCGCTTACAATGTCCTAGAGCTGGGTTATGCTTGCCGATTTTTTCAAGCTTCTACAGAGTAGTTGCAACGGGGAGTTTACTACAGTACAATCAGTCACTTGATAAACACTTGGTTGGACACTTCTAGCTGCTAAGCTATACAAGTCAGCATTTTTAATCGTCGAAATTTCGCCACCAAAGCTGTGATGATCGACAGGTTTCAAAACGTTACTGTTACGTTTCAAATAACTTTCATGAGACTTATTTTGAAACATGTCCTTATCCTATACTATAGCTATGTGCTTTTGTGTTATCAACTGATCAGTGTTTGATTCAGCTAGAAGATGCCAGCTACACATTAACTATTAAATAGCACTGAACAGATGCGACGGAAACAAAAATGCAAAGGAAGCACTACGTACAACACAACATTATAGGTATGAGAATACTCTTAATTTTACACTAACAACAACGACAGTAACATTTATAACGGGACAATAAAACCCTAGCTACGGACCGGGCATTATACGTCTCATCCGGCCTCACAGCGCAAAATCCAACCCGGAGACGGTGGTCTCCTGCTGCAGACCGCGTAGGCTACCGTTGCCGGCAGCGCCGCACTGGCACACCTCCGGGCATTTCTTCTGATGCCCGAGAATCTCGCTGCAGACGATCCCGGCAGACAACGTCAGCGTCCACGTCTGCAGAAAACACTGCGTGTTCTATGAAGAGCGACCCGATTGCGGGGCTACTGTAATTAAGGAAATGGCCCGGTACATAGCGTCAAGAATGGGATACATCCACTAAAACTTTCGCTTTCGCGCACTCCGAATCACTTTTTTGTATTACTTAATGTCATTTTAAAGCTAAATGATTTGTTTATATTGTTCTGAAAACCGTTTGCGCGCGCAACATCCGGTTGCCGAGATATGGTGGAACAAAATGGGCAAAAAGTTTAAATGCATTGTCGTGTACCAAAAGTCTGGTTATTACCAATTTGAAAATTCATTTTAAAATTGGAAAAAAATGCTATGGATCTGATATTGGTTCACTTTCGACCTTATGGTCATGTGTCGTTTACAGCAAAGTTTCAAGAAGATCGGGTAATAACCAGACTTTTGGTACACGACAACGCATTTAAACTTTTTGCCCATTTTGTTTCACCATATCTCGGTAACCGGATGTTGCGCGCGCAAACCGTTTTCGGAACAATGTAAACAAATCATTTAGCTTTAAAATGACATTAAGTATTACAAAAAAGCGATTCGGAGTGCGCGAAAGCGAAAGTTTTAGCGTATGTATCCCATTCTTGACGCTATGTACCGGGCCATTTCCCTTAAGCGGAAGTATGCAGTACGCACCGCGATGGGAATGTGGCGCGTAATGTGGAACATCTCCGCACCGTGGAACATGAGCACCTGGTTCTTGCTGGCGTTGATAAAGGACACCAGGTACTTTTTCAAGTGTTCCCCCTGCAAATGTACCAGGCCATCATCATGTGGAAACAAATTATTTGATTACCAAATTTACTATAAGCAGTACAGATAGATAAATATATATAACTCTTGCAATTTTCGATCTTATATTTTTCATAATAATTATAATCTTCTTACCATTAGTATAAGTTTTCAAAATACGCAAACATGGTAATGTACACGTAATCTTCAGCACTTCATTGTAATAAATTAGTAATTTTTCATTAAAACAAGTAAAGCATAATTACAGAAATAATAAGGTACCTGTACGTATTTGGCATGCAAATGTGCTGTATAATCACGATGCAAAATAAATACGTATCAAACGTTCTGATAAGGTTGGTCAAAACACTTTCTAATAGTGTATAATTTTAGCTATTTTTGGGAAAATACATTACGAGTAAAACGTAATAATAAACGTGATAAATATTTTTGACGTAAATTTATTAATGATCAATGCAAAAGTAAATTTTTATTGATAATAAAAGCTTTAAGACGTTTATAAGGAAGTTGCTTTACCTCGGTGGGCGGAGTGTAGTGCTCGGCGGTGTGGAGCATCTGGTACAAGGCCCGCATAATGCGATGTCCCTGCAAAAACATTCGCCCTATCACCCCACCGAAAGGTCACCGGAAACGGGATCACCGCACCCACCTGTTCGTGGACGCGCACCAGCGGGATGAAGAAGACGGAGGCGTAGACCCCGTACAGCAGGACACTCAACCAGTGGTACAGTTTCCCGCTTAGCAGGTGGCTCTCCACGTTCATCACCACGTCGGCCACGTAGCCGCACACGGCGCACACATCCAGGAAGTAGATGAAGAACAGCTCCCAGGCGAAGGTGTCGTTGAACTCCTCGCAGTACTCCACGAGGCGGGCGTGCCGGTCTTTTAGCGCGATGACCAGCTTCTCCGCCGTGGCCATGTGCTTCTCGGAGTGGCCGTTGCTGCGGCCCAGACGCCGCTGCAGGTCGTCGTGGGCCTCGTTGATCTCGCTGACCAGCTGTTTGATGCACGACCCGAACATCCACGACAGCACCATCGCCACACCGAACACCTATATTCAAATTTTTATGATAAATAGTGTTGCTGAAATATTTGTTTAGGTAAATAAACATGTGAATAAAGTAGGCAAAATACTGTTACAATTCTGTTAAATTCCCTCGAAATGTTAAAATGTGTACCAAAATATCGTTTAAGAGTTTTAGTGCAACAATTTGATAACTGATTTATTATGACAATGTTGTAATAATTTTATAATTTATTTTAATTTGTTTTCTTGAAAAGTAATATAAAATTAGTAAACCTAACTGTAAAGAAAATTCTGTAAAATAAATTAAACAGTACGCGCGAGTACAATCATACGTAAATAGACAAAATATTTTCCAAGAATTTCATGGAAATATTGTTAATAGAAAAAGGTATCTGCGGATTATAAACATAAATTCTGATTATTAAAACCACGAAAAAATTAAGAACGTTTTTAAATGCAAAAAAATTTGGAGACTGGCTGGAAATCATAAATGAGCAAGGGAAAAGTCCCCGTTTTATTCTAAAAAACGGGCAGAATTATCAAAATGCGTATAAAATAAATAGTTGATTGCCACAATAAACCAAGGGAATACCTTTACATATTTCTACAATACTGATTTGACCTGTTGCGAGACGAAGAACGGCAGCGAGGAGAAGACACTCCACAGCACGACAAACTGCACCAGCGTCACCCGCAGCGGAAACGGGTCCCACACATTCTCCGCCGTGGCTTCCGGCCGCGTCTCCAGCTGCTCGACAAAATACCACCAATTACACGCGTCCCAGGCCACCCGCAACACCAGCGTCACCATCCCCAATACGGTCGCCGCGCGCCGCTCCCCAGGAGCTCCCCCTCCAGCCGTTCCTCCCCGAAATTCAACCGCAGCACCTCGTCCGTCGTCTGTACCACATCCCGCAGTAACTGCCGGTCGTAGGCGGTCCGCAGCAGCACCGACAACGCGCGCAGCGTAAAGAGCAGGGGCGGGAGGACGGAGAGCAGGAGGACGAAGGGGCTGATGTGGGCGTGGCTGTGGCGGACGTGGGCGAAGGTGTAGGCCACGAAGCCGGTCAATAAACCCAGGTTGGCCAGGGCCCCGAGGAGGAAGAGCCCGCCCACGACCTGCCAGAGGTGGTACAGTCCGCGCTGCAGGACGCCGCCGCCGGGAGGGGGCGCCACCAGGCCCAGGGTGCGCAGGATGCCCAGCTGGAAGACGAGCACGTCGGATGCCTCATCGGCCGGCATCCACACGCACACGCAGCGCACGCAATTTTAACCAATCGCGTGCGTCCATCCAATCCCGCAAACTCTTAATCCATAATATCCGTTTGCATATACATATTTTTATAACATTATTAAAATAAAATTATATAAATGATCGGATGACCTTTTGAACCTCACCATTTTATACCCCTTTATTTGTAATACGTAGTAAAAAAATCACATATATAATTTCTAATGAATTTTGATTAGTTTCACACGAAATTAACTTAAAACAAACTATTTATATAAGAAGCTTATACAAACAGTATTAACAAAGTATCGATTACTTGTACGAGCACGCTTTTGCACTCTTCCTGTGCCATCAGGTTTGGTTTCCTTGGAGAAGAGCTGCCAGCGTCAAAATAACTCGCACATGAAGTATACATCATTAAGTGTTTTCCGTCGTCAATAATTACCGTGTTGCTGATTCCCCGCGCGTCTGGCGTCGGTGGCTTCGTTAGCGCCCGCGATCCGACCTATAATTACCTGTAATCGCGGACAATTACACGGCCGTATATATACATCTATATACACTCCCGCTGCACGGCGTTCCCGTAATCGCGTGTCATAAAACAATCAGCAAAGGTCAGCCGCGGCTTTTATGCTACCGGTGGCAATTGTTGAGTCTTTTATGTTGCGCGCTGAGAACGACGAATAGCGACGCAGGTGCCGCTGGTTGTATATATACAGGATAGTGTTGCTAATAATTATCCAGCGAATTCTGCGTTTCATTCACGGTGGGTAACAAGAGCGCGCTGTAGTTGGGGGAGAGATTAGTGTATTATATTATTCCCTATTGAAAGGACATAACGGCCAAATGTGCACCGTAAAGTTTCAATTTGTCCTCGCGGTTAAGAACCGTGCTAACAGCTGTGAGACAGGTTTAAAAGGACTCTTTTTAACCGGAGTATTGAGTACAAAATGGAGCGATTAACTTTATGGGGCGTGCTACAGGTGCTGCGTGGTTGTTACGGAATTTTAATGGGAATTTTTATTCCAGGCGTTCGCAGATTGAAGGAGCTGTTAAATAAAGCCCGTTTACAGTTGTAATAAAAAATTAAAATAAATCTCATAAAAATGCGCTTAACCGTAATAATATTCAAATACATAAATAATAGAAAACCAGAATGAAAAATATAAAGGTCACTCGTAACACTTTCAAAATTTTATTCTAATAGAAAACCGTGTGTGAATATTCGTCGTATAACAAAAATAAAATCGGAACTCGAAAATCTGCGTAATTTTATTAAAACCGAAATACATAAATGTATAACAAAAATAAGAATTAAAATAAATGTAATTTAAATGCATAAAAAACAATGTATTTACGCCATAATTAATAATAATGTCGTGAGTAAAAATGCGAGCTGCCATATGAGCTAACAAGTACCGTTACAGGATAGGAAATGCCTAACACAACAACAGAAGAAATTAAATTCGAAAGGTAACTAAAGGCATCAGCAGCTGAAAAGTTGAACGTTGGTTGTTAACAGACATTTACATGAAGTGTGAACAATTACTAGCTGGCACCGTTAAACAGGCCACTGCTTGATTAAACCGGATAATGGGAGAATGGAGGGAATGTTTATTTGTTGTAGCAAGTGTTTACCGCGGGGCGCCATACCGCCCGCCATAACATCCGTGTACTACACAGACTACACCGTGTCCTCGGCTGACCGTTACACTGACCACTGGCTTCTTGCCGGACAGAGCGTCTTGACGGCGTAATGGGTGATGGATGATGGTGGCGTTAGCGCATATCCGGAGCTGCCGGTGCATCTGCAGCGCCATGTGGTCTGTGTTTGTTGTTATCGCGATGCACGGATCACTCACGTCATTCGCCGTGAATGGACGCAATGTGTGACGTGGACCGGCATGTGTGCGCTGACCTTGCGTCATCGGCGGAATGCGCTGCCGGCGCTGGACAAGCAAATACAACGTCCGCCGTCGCGCACATGGCGGAGTAACGCCCAGTTTTTAAGAATTTCAGAATCGTGGTTTTAAAGTTTATACAAAATTAATTGTAAAAATTTTAAATTTTTCACCAGAATCTGAAATTATAAAAAAGCTATTTAAGGAAAACGGAAACAAAATTCAGAAGATTTAGAACTTTCTACAAAAAATTGAACGAACTATCGTACTTTAATAACGTTTAATTATTAAACTTCAATAACATTTGTGTACGTTATTTATTAATTTTCCTAAGTTATGTTAAATACTCGCTGGTATCTTAGTAAAGAAGTGCTTCACATAGCTGTCTATTATTATTATTATTATTATTATTATTATTATTATTATTATTATTATTATTATTAGTATTATAGCAACTACAGTAGCCAAACTCCATTAAAGGAGACTTTAACCCTAAGGTGAAAACCTTTAGGTTTTTAGGCTACTGGAAAATTTTTTGTTTACCAGTAATTTGAAAATTTTATACTTTTTTTTGGTTTGATTTATGAAATAAAAGTTACCCACCACGGTTTTAAATTTTTAATCGGTGAACGTTAAACCACGGAATAATTGAGACCCTTAGGTTTGTACGATTTGATTAAACTATGTTAAGAATGCCGCCGCATGAGTGATGGGCATTGTGGAATTACACAGCCGTGGTGTCTAATTAAAACCGTATGTTGGTTGCGGCCGCATAGGAGCCGCTGGAGCATAATGAGGCCGTGATGGATGGGCGCCCTGGCCGCGGAATTGACCACTGGTCAAGTACGGTGCATTTTATTGTGGAGCGGTCACACTCGGCTGCGTTAGGCAGCCATCAATCGGGATGGAGCTGTCAGGCCGGAGCGTATCGGGAGCTGCTACAGCTCCTTGATGACAATTACGGACGGCTCCATCATGGCATCCCTTAATTGGCAATTCGATCATGCTCGGTTGGCTGTGCTGTATGCTGGTTAACAGCTTTACAGCGGATCATGTTGTGGGAGCTGCGACATGGAATATTCGCACTGGACAACAGCAGCGTCAATCTGCACGACACCTGTTGCGCTGAACGGGTGATAAGGAGAATGTCCGGCACTCACCAGCCATCGCCTGATGAAAGATATGACCACAAAACGTCCCAATTAACTCTGACAAAATGCTATTAAGAAATCGGGAAACTTTATTTAAATTCCACATCACTAAAGATTTTACTGAACGCTAGTGCAAAAAAAGCCGTAGCCAAGCACCGAACGCATGGTTATATAACCAAACAGATTGAAGTTAAAAATTAAAAAAAACCTGCTCTGCTTGCAGTTTTTACGTACACTGGAAATTTAAGCAGTGTAAGTATTAATTTTATTAAATTAATTCGTATTAGCTATCAAGTACAACTGATACTGATATTTTTCGATTACTGTTTGAACACAGTGGCTGGTGTTCGGGATCTTCGAGCAATGCACTCATCAGCTTCACGTAAAGAACTTAAGACCAGCAATCTCCAATGAAGAATTTTAATGTGCAACCTGAGAAGCGTCATTAAGACGATTCTCTGCATGTCAGTCACTGTTCCCCGGACAAACGATGCACTCTCGTGCTGATGGATGTCCATTAATGATGGCCCATCATCGGGACCGTTGGCCCGTAATTAAAATTCTGCCCGAATATGCCATTTCCATTTCCCAGAAAAAAATTATCAAGCCTCTCAATTAAACTGACGACATTGGCAGCGCAGTGACGTTGGCAATGCAACAGATTGCGTAAAATGCCGCTAATTAGTCGCACAGAATAATCGGCTCGGCAGCGGTTCGGTTTTGCAAAGGGCTGGAAGTGGATAACGCTGTCCAGTGGTCAGACGCAGCGCATGCAAAGCGAAAGAATGCTGCAGCCTCGCTTCTCGCTGTCTCGTGTCTCTCAACTCTGTCTGTGCCTGTGTCTGTTTATATCCGCGTCTCTCTCTCTGTCTGTATCTGTGCAAAGGCTGCCTCTCTCTGTGCCTGTGTCTCTGCGTATATCTGTGTGAGCACACTCCTGTCGGCGCAGTGTCTCCCTACCGTCTTTGTTTGATGCGTCCGTGTAAGAATTCTGTTGGCCAGTTTTCACATGACGCCTCTTCTTCCCCGGGCTGCTTCTTTCATACTTTCTCCAAAATGCTGATTCGGTATTCAACCCGCGTCTGATGAAAGGCCAGTCGTGATTTATCTGTCTCCGTGCGTCTGAACACCATACACAACGGGCTAATGATCATCAGGCGCATTAATGAGCCCCACGGATTGGATTACCCTACGCATTTTCACTCAACTCCATAACGCATCGCGCGCTACTGCATCCAGTTCATCTGCGGTCAACACGGTGTGTGTGTGTGTGTTGGCATTCGACTTTTTCTTCTTCCTCACTCCGTGCTCCAACGCACGCAACAAGTAGTCGCGCGTTTTCCAGAAGCAGAGTGTGCGTGCGGAATTTGATTTCCGGGTTCTGCGAGAGGTAATCGGGCTAATCGAGTGGTGTGTTTGCGGATTTGTCAAGGAGCGATGAATGGGAGTTGGAGTGGCTGATGAAGGTAAATACACCGGTTAACACATGTACACTGCTCCTGTGTACACAACCGCGTCTCTAAGACGTGGAATTTATATTGTATGCGGGAGTGTTACCTTTTCGCATCAAACAGCGCGCGCTGTTTACTTTCTGTCAACTGTTTATTAAGCTGGACCACAACGGTCTTTAGATTCTTTACGGCGCGCAGACGTTGATCAAACTATTTAAGCTGATTTCGTCCCATTCAAGCCTTCACTCTATTTAATTTATTGCCAATCAACGCCAGCAATTCACTACATTAAACTGCTTACAGAATAAATAACCTTATAGTTAATAAAAATAAAATAAATTAACAATTTCTTTTAATAAATAATGTACATAATTATTTCTTAAGCTGCAGCAATGCGTGGAGATTTAATTTGGCCACGCATGTTGGCGTGAATAATTGATGGAGAGATAAAACCGGCATCATAAACCGTTTTACCTGGTGAACAACCGGCTAATATGCCTCATTAATGGCTGTTAATACGGACGCGGCAGCTGATGCTGACTGTAAATAAACACCCGATGCCGGGCCACTATTGACTCAACAGCTCAAACGCACGCGCGTCGATTTTATTGCAGCGGCCGCCTGATTAAACCCAACGCCGATTTTAATCCAATTACCCCATTAAAATTGATTTAATTAATCAAAATTTCATAAATCCATTTTTTCCACCGGTTCGGTTAATTTTTTTTCAACGGTTGTTTAATTGGTTACATACTGGTTACATAGTTAATTAAGTCCGCTAAAGATGTCAGTTTAATTAAACAGTGTTTTTCGTGTAATAATCGCGTAGAAGAATTAAACGAGAGCAAAATGGTAATTTGGGCGTTTTTGCGGATGAGCAGTTGTGTATAGCATTGGATTTAAGCTGGCTACTCTGTTCAGCAGCCGTTGGGCCAATTATAATTAGGTAGCCCGGTTAATGAGCCGCTGCATGTCGATTAGTGTTGGCTGCTGTGGGAAACGCTACGACCACGGACAGCCATTATCCGACACCGGCCATTATCCACACCGGGAGCACACAATTGCCGGCTCCGCAGCAGCGCAGCAGACAATATTCCCTCAATACCGTATAATCCCATGGCAACATTCCTTTCCAACTGTGTTTCTTTCTTTTCTCACTACACCCATCGGGCGAAATTAGCAATTTTCCTCCTGCAAACCAGCGCTGACTATTATTCGTGGTAGACGCGCTGGGTTTTTATGGTGTTTTGTCTTTTCTGAAACGGTCAGTCTTTAATCTCCAAACCAGCAAAAAGAGACCTTGCTTTCTGCCCTCAATGAATTATGCCGAGAGACGCTTGATTCCAGCAAACATGAAAATTTTAATCTTGCAAAATAAATTCTTTCAAAATGTGTAATCGGCAAAAAATAATAAAATACTCTGTAAAATAAAATACAATATTTAATATAATAAAATTTTTTTTATTTTTTTATTTGTATATGTACATTTTCATGTTGTTTGTATTTTAATATAGTGTTGTGTCTGTTCTTCTTAAATGGAAAAATTAATACAAATTTATTTCGTAGAGTTTTTATCTGTATTTATGTTTACACTTCAACAGATCATGCTTGTTTTATTAACTGTATTTGCTTACTGTTTGCCTTCTTTCTTTTATGGAAAAATTAGTGCTAATTTATATTTTGGAAGCGGTTAGAAAAATCTTTAAATTTTCATGCATTTCAGTTCGAATTTACGTGATCGTTTACATGTGTGTATATTTGATAAAGGCGTCATGTCGAAAAGACAACAATTGAGGGAAATTAATGTCTTCCTCCGTCTCAGGCGCATCTTCCAAACCGAGATTTATTTACAAAAAGCTTTCCCCGGCAGCATCCTGTTTTGATGAGAATTCCCACGCGCCGACTACTGTACACTTTACACCAGGCGTAGTGTACAGCATTAACGCTCCCCGTGCGTCTCGAAATGATCCGCGATGGCGCATTAAGATTGGCCAGTGTCCATTACAACCAGTTCCATTCTGCTGTGCTGCTACTGCGCCTGATAGATCCGAGACAATTTAATCGAATCCATCAGCACAACTCGTAAAATACACATATATTCCAGTCGTCCCCTGAAAGAAGGCGCGTCATAACAGTCATAAACATTACGTCCCGCGCACAATCAGCAGACAGGAGAGGAGCAGAACAGCAGCAACAAGTCGCTAATAATTACCGCGCGATGCCGGTATCAGCGCAGCGCTCTTGGCACGGTCAAGGTTGAGCGCGTTTAATGCTAATCCGTGTTGGCGGGTTGTGTACGTGACCTTTATCATAACACTGCTGCGTGCCGCGCGTAAATCGTGCGCGTGACCTTTACATAAACATGGGCATTTTTAATGATTTTTTTCCGTAGAAATATCAAGACACGTGCACGTGTCTTTTCCTCGTCACACACGTTTGTAACGTTTATACAATACAGAAAAGAACGTGTACGTGATCTGTACATAAACACCAACCAGAAAATTATATACAGGTAAATTAAAAAATAAAACATATAATATGAAATCATAATTGGAAAAAAATTAGGAAACATTTATATGCAGAAAAGAGCGCCTGTGTGAATCAACAATTTTTTCAAAAATATCTAACATATAGAAAAAAGAAAAAAATATATACATTTTAATTTTTTTTTATAAAATTTATATATACAAGAAAGATCTTTTGCGTGACCTTTATATAAACATCGAGAATTCTGGAAGAAGTTTTAGGCACGTATGTAATGAATTCTAGTGTCTGCGTGACCTTTATATAAATATCAACAACGTTCGGGCGAAAATGCAGGACACGTGCGTATAAATATACCGAAAAGATGGCTTTTCGAAAACCGGTAGAAAGTGTTGGGTGTATTCGGATTGGGGATTAGAGAGAATTGTGTTGATAATGTGTGAGAGTGTGTAATTGACGCGTAAGCGCGCGGAATAATCGCCGGCTCCGCGGCGCATACCATCACGCCATAACCGGGGATAAATTACCACGTTGGCATTGAGGTATTATACGGGAAAAATGATATACACGACAAATGCCCGTCCTGATGTTTGACAGATGCAGGCGCGGAATTATGATGCTGCGCGTTTCTCCTGCGCTTTTGTCGCGCCTAGGCTGAAACAGGTTAGGAAACGGCCGGTCTTCGATGGAGAAGATATATTATTATATAGATAAGTACAATAACAATGGCTGGCGTTTTGCTTGGCTATAAAATAGAGCCATCTTCGGTAGCTGATGGATGGATTGGATAAACTGATCAGATGCAGCGGCGAGAGAGTGAGTGGTCAGTGGAGAGTGAGAGGCACAACAGACGGGAGATGGGACAGATTAGCTAACGAGCTTGCCAGCAGCCCATTTTTCCCCGCAGCTGACCACTTCACTTTACCAAACGCTACACTCTCGTTGTGAATGCACTTTCGACGAGGGATTGTACAACTTGTTGCGTGCTATTCATTCACGAGACAGGCGACGCGCCGAGGGGAATTTTTCTGGGTCATGTTCGCAGCTTGCCCAATTTTTCCCGAATTGTTTCTTGATTTTATTGCCGGTAATAGTGCCCGCTTCGATTTTTGCATTTTATTTCGTTTATCTTTAACTTCAAATTTGCTTTTTAATTATTATCATTTTTTAGAGGATTTAACATTTTCAAAAATGCATGCTTTCCTATGTTTTTAGTATTTCCCGGTTTTATTTAAAGTTTGTTTTCTGGTTTTATTTATTATGGCGTTTTGATAATGTTATATATCATATAGCAAAGATTTTGGCATTTATAATATGTACATCGCTATAATATTTACGTATATAATATCTAAATAATACTTACATTTATAATATTTACAGCTTTTATTAATTTGAAATTTTGTTCTAATTTCTGTTTATTGCATTTATTTATTTTAACAGATTTAGACGTTTTAGCATTTTCCACGTATTACTAGTATAGCATTTACAGACCGACAAAATTTGATTGCGTATTTTTGTTGTATTTATTTTCCCGGCGAGCAATTCTTCCCGGCGCTTGATGGAACTGTATTTTAAATAGAAATGTTTTCGTGGCTGTCAGGAGAAATTATTTTAACCGTGGTCAGTATCATTAGACGGCACCATTTAAGGCGTCTAACGATGACGGTTAAATCATCCTCTATCGATAGGTCATACCGGCAATTAGCCATTTTGGATAATTATGCCGGACAGGAGCCAGTGGAAAACGGGACAAGTGCTCCATTACCGATAAGCCGAAATCACTATCCGTCGCTGTGGGCATCCGCGCAATTAGCCCCAACGCCGATATCATCATCATCATCCGCATCTAACCTCTGCGTATATATAAACACAAATATAATCATCATCCGCGCGTCATGGATCCGCGGACGCATGCCGGCGGAACCGGTTCCCCCTACGGTAAGCACAGATAGCCGAATAGCCGACGGCCGGAAGCGGTGGTGGATAGTTGTGTGTGTGTGAAAAATAACCGTTTCCATTGAGTGGTGGCGGGTGATTAGTGTTAAGTGCGACAAAATGTTTTCGCATCACTATGCCGTGTGGTGGTATAATGCGGAATGTGGCAGGGTATCCCTTCCCCATGTCGCCCAGTGCCTTCGCGCTGCACCAACCGGTGTCGGCGCCGATGGATCCGCGCGGACTGGAGCCGGCGCGCTACGCCTCGCCCTGGGATCAGGCGCGCTTAATGGGCATTTCCGGGTACAAAATAGTAGTAAACAACTTTTATTACTTTTTTGTAAAAAGTGATAAGAAGTGCCAGGTTCAGTAATAACGAAAAGACCGCCTTTTTAATTCTGTTTTTATTTATTATGGATTTCTTTTTTTAAATCGAAGTGATGTATGAGATCATTGTTAAAAAAGGCCTTTAAGGACAGTTAAATATAAACAAAATTTGCCGTTTTTTTCTTACATCAATAGTTATTTTTTTTTAATAATTTCAATGTAAGAGCATCGTTCATTTTAGTTTAATTATCTTTTACTTTAATGCCGATTTGCAAACTATGTTAAGGTTTATTATCTGATTTGATTTTAGTGAACGCTTATTTAAAAATGGTTTCAAATAAGTGAAGTGGCGAAAAAAGAATTATTAATAATTAAAATCTTTATTTTAAAACAGTCAACGTTAAATAGATGTGCAGCTAAAATTAACATAAGAAATGACTATTGCTAAAACAATTCGAATATCCATTTATAACGAGTGAAACTGTTCATGTATAAATAAGAATTCTTCTTTTAGCTGAAAATAATCCGGCTAATTTTTTTTTCAAACAGCGGAAGTCCGTTATTGGGCGACCTAGGTCGTTTGCCGATGTCGGACGCGGCCAGCGCCGCCTACCGCTACAGCATGTGGGAGCAGATGTACCGGCTGCAGTCGCTGCAGCGCGGCCTGCCCATCGACCCCCGCGGTACATTCACCCTGCTTTCTTCCACCACACTGCACTCTAATACACCAACCTTCTTTCTCTTGAACAGTTCCCATCTCCCCGGATTTCTTAGCCCGGCAAGCCGCTATGGCGGCCGCCGCGGCGGCGGCAGCCAGTGCGGCGGCCCCGCCCGATGTCTTCAGCCTGCACCCGGCCAGCGTCACGCCCAGCATCGGGCTGCCCTTCACCGCGGAGGGTAAGGGCTTAGAAGTCATAACAATGTTTCTTAGATTTCTTAGCTTTCTTAGATTCCTTCGAACCGCGGCCAATCAAGCGAGAGATGTACATATATACGTGTTCCTTAGGTTGTGTATAAGCGGCTAATCAAGCGAGAGAGATATATATGTGATTCTTAGATTTCTTAGGTTTCTTAGATTTCTTAGACAGGGCTAATCAAGCGAGTGACCTATTGTTGTACAGGTGGATCCCGTCTGAGCACACCGCGGCCGGAATCGCTCAGTCGTATCGGCCGGAAACGGCCGCTCTCCCTGTCGCCCTACGCCGCCGACTTCGATCTCAACACCGTCATCCGCATGTCGCCGAATTCGTTGCTGTCCGGCGGGAATCGCTCGCGGTGTTCCAGTTCCGCTAGCGGCACCTATGGACACTTGGCTGCTGGTCCGTCAAAATCGTTTAAAAAATGATCAAAAAAATTTTTATGGTTAAAAAAATCAATTATTAAACGCTGAAAATAATTTAGGCGCGTTGAGTCCGTCGCTGTTGGCGCTGGATCACGTGCGCATGCAGCAGTACATGCAGGCCTTCTCCTCGGCCTTCTGCCCGCCGGCGCCCTCCAAGACCGACCTCCCGGAGGCGGCGGAGAAGCCGTCCAAAAAAGAGCCGTACCTCCCGGCCGCCCCCCTCCAGCCGGTGGTCTCCAGCAGTGTCCCGGCCGTCAGTCCGCGGCGGAAGCCAGAAAAGGTCACCCGGGAATCGGCGCAGTCCAGCACCGGCGGCAACGAGGACGACGACGGTAACCGCCCCTCAAAAAATTCCCTTAATGTTAAAGACCAACTACAATATTCTAATAACAAAAATATAAAACAAAATAATAATAAAATGTTTATTACAGTAATTATAAAATAATAATGCATGCTAAATAAATTACTAAAAATATATATAATACTAGAATAATTATAAACAAGCTTGACCTTTTTTAAAAATATTTAGTAAATAATTTTCAGTTTAATTATTTTGAAAATTGTAGATGCGATGATGCGGTCGCCGGCCGCGGGCGGTGAGGAGCTGGAGCCGGTGGAGACGCGGTGTCGCTGGGAAAATTGTCAGTTGGAGTTCCAGTGCAACAGCGCCCTGGTGCAGCACGTCAACCAGGACCATCTGCCGACCAATAAGAAGCAGTTCGTCTGCCGCTGGACGGACTGCGTCCGCGAGGAGAAACCCTTCAAGGCGCACTACATGCTGGTGGTGCATATGCGCCGACATACCGGCGAGAAGCCGCACAAATGCAAGGTACGTACTGGTAGAAACAACTACTCAGATGCCTGTTTTAGTCCGAATCAAGATCTTACTATAGGTAGAGGACTGGGAAGCGACTCTGCAACGGTCGACTACGTCATCACTGTCGCATACAGAATGCACTGCTCTGCTATTGCTTACCATAGGCCCACAGATTTTATTGTCCCTTTTTAAAGATATTCTCAGTTCCTTTCTCCTCTGAAGCTTTCTGATATTTTAACAGATCATATTGAATTTAGAAAACCAAACATGAGAGGCTAGAAATAGAAGAGAAAAGAAATATGCTGAGAAAACTGACAAAAACCGTAAAAAACGCGCATCTGTCGCCATGGCAGCCGCCCTCTCGTGTGTGCGAGAGTGATGACGTCAAACGGTAGGTTACCAGTCCTCCTCACACTATAGTAAGTACTTGTCCGAATATATGCGAAATTTTTTCGATTTCTTGTTGCAGTGTTACCTCTTACATCTGTAGTCTGTACAACTGAAGAAACTGACTTTCTCTGGCCGTTTTACGCATGTCCGCAGTACATCAGTTGTTCAATTTGGGTTATATCTTCCTGGTTTATACGGATTTTATTATATCACTCAATTGTTTCGTTTTTCAGTTTATTCTACGAAATCTCCTGAAAATTTCCATAAATCAGCCTTTTTCTTACGTTACATTGTAATTATTTTCGGACAACCTGTCGTATGGCGAGCGTAGTATTTCTGCTTTCCAGTTTATTTGTGTTTTTGCTTATTATGAAATGTCATAAATGCAGTGATGTTATGTGCGTTGTGGGATAGTTTGCCGGCTGTCCGAAAGCGTACTCGCGGCTGGAGAATCTGAAGACGCACGAACGCAGCCACACCGGCGACCGGCCGTACCGCTGCGAGTTCGAGCACTGCCCCAAGGCCTTCACCAACGCCTCCGACCGCGCCAAACACCAGAACCGTACACATTCCAACCAGGTACAAAATTGTTACACATCCTACACAGCGTTATGTAAACCATTCAGAAAAACACGAAGTGGCGTTTTCTTGTCTGCTTCGCAGTCAGCGAAAACATTCCGTTGCGGACTCGCTGTGCAAATTACGTATTATTCGTGTACTATAAATTAATTTTGTAATTAATGGTATAGTTAGGGACCACACACAAACTACGTACAGAACGAATTTTCGGGAACGTAGTTATAGATAGTCCCTTACAGTATCTTCCTTTGTGTAACTTGATGCTTGTGCTGTGCTAAACCACCCCCCTAAAATGTGCGAATCAGAATCGTGTAACATTTTGGTTACAGACTTTCCATAGACCTGACGAAAACAAGCCGTAAACTAAATAGTGTACAAAGACTAGTCTTTGTAATTATTCTAGTTTAACCGACTGCCAACTGGTGTCAGTCCGCTCCGGAAAATATTGGCACAGAAAGTCGGCAATTAATCAAAATTGTTCGTATAAAAATTTCTCAACCAATACGGTATATATTTCAACCAATAATTCCATAATTAGTTAGACTACTATAATTATCGTACAGTATATATCTCGTATAATTTATCAGATCAGCAGTTAATAGATACAAGTTGTGTAACTATTTTGTAAATACATTTTTATTGACAAACATTTTTTTTTTGGAATTATATTGATTTTGATTGCTATTTTTATTGAATTTTTCCGCCATTTTATTTTTATTTTTCTCTCATTTTTTGGGCGTGCATTGCGCAGTACGGGTTTGACCTTTTCCGGCGATGTGTTGTCAGTCAAGGCAGACGGTGTTTCGTGTTGCAGAAACCGTACTTTTGCAAAGTGGAGGGCTGCACCAAGCGCTACACGGACCCCAGCTCGCTGCGCAAGCACGTCAAGACGGTCCACGGGCCGGAGCACTTCGCCAACAAGAAGCACAAAGGCAACGATGTGCCGCGCGGCCGCCACCACCGCGACCACGACGCCGACGAGCCGCCGGCGCACTTCGCGCCGCGCCACTTCGCCGACGACACGCGCAGCTCCGGGCGGTCGGGCAGCGAGCCCAGCACCCCGCGGGGACATGTCAAACAGGAGGTGGGTGACCTTTGCCGGTGTCCAGTAAAAAATAAGTTTTAATTGTGAAATTCAACAATAAAATAATTAAAAATTTGTCAGTTTTATTGAAGTTTATACCACAAATTAAATTTAAAGTGAAGTAATAAATTTAAATAAAATTAAATTGTGTAATAAAATCGATAGGGCAATGAAATATAAATATAAAACTGCAAAAAAATTAAAATTGGTAAAGAAAATAAAGCAAAGTAAAGAAAACCGCGTGGCATAAAAAATTCCTTAATAAAATTTGAAATAATAGGGTTAAATAAAATTGCTGAATAAAACTGCATTACAGAGTGTGGAGCTGTCGCCGAGCTACTCGCACCCCTCGAGCACCTTCACCAACTGCTCCCTGGACAGTCCCGCCAGTCTGGCGGACTTCCACCACCCGGTGCTGACCCGCGGCCACCCAATGCGCAGCAACGCACCAATCGCCGAGGTGGACAACGAGATGGACGCGGACCCCTTCGCCGACATGGCCAGCGACATCCGCGCCGCCATCTACGGCCCGGAGGTCCTCCCGGCGCCCCGCCTGGCTCCGGCCCGCCGCCTCCCATGCAAAACGGCCCCGGCGGGTCCCCTCAACATCCACGACCTCAACCAGCGCTTCACCGAGATGCACACCTTCCCGGAACCTCCCCGGCCGCAGTACTACACCTCCGGGGAGCCGGAGCCGGGTCCCCCGCTGACCTGCCGCCGCGACAGCGCCGCCAGCATCGGGACCTTCTACTCTAGTCTCCCGGCGTCCGACATGAGCAGCCGGCGGGTCAGCGAGGCCTCGGCGACCAGCCAGCCGTACGACCCGATCTCGGTGGGGTCCTCACGGCGCTCCAGCGAGCCCACCATCGTCCCCAACCGCTCCTTCTACCAGCAGAAGATCCAGATGCGCCAGCAGCGCTGGGCGGTGCAGGCCCCGCCCCCGCGCACCGGGACCCTGGACACCGCGGCCTGGACCCCGCCGGTGCAGTACCACGGCCTCCGGCGGGCCAGCGAACCCACCGGGACCATCGCGCCGGCCCGCATCCAGCCGCTAACCCGCCGCAACCTCCAGCGCCACAACAGTCTGTGCGCCGGGGACCCCGGAGACCATTTCCCGCGGGAAGACGCCCTCCACATCCCCGACGACATGATCCGCCACCTCCACGAGGTCGCCGAGCGCGCCCGCCAGGCGCGGGAGCTCGGACTGGTCGAGGAAGACACCGGGGACGATCTCCCGGAGATCCAGCCCAACTACGCCGGCCACGGGTACCCCCCGCCGCCGCCGTACGGGCGCAGCGCCTCCTTCTCCCACGGGCCGCCGGAGGTGTACCAGCAGCCCCGGCGTCCCTCCCAACCCCCGGAATTCTACGCGCCGGATGTGTACCAGACCGCCAGCCACCAGCGGCAGCGGCGGGGCGCCGTGGTGCCCCTCCCGGACGCCGGAGGGGGTCGACCGCTAACGGAAGGGTCCCCGGACAGTTACCAGGTCACCAGCACCACCGGGATGGACGCCCACTACCCGGGCGGGAACACTTTCTACGCCGGCGACAACATGGTGATGAACGATATGCACTCGCTCATGTCGACGCTGAACTACGAGAACGAACTGTACAAAATGGTCCAATGAATTTTGTTTTTATTTTAATTTCTTTTTTTTTGGCTCAATGCGCATACAAGCTTTAATCTGTTGTTGTTTTTGGCGGGCAGAGAAATAAAATTCAGTTACAAATCAGTGGGCTACGCCAGCGTAGCCGGAAGCATTTTGGGACGCGTATATATCACAACAGAGTGAGTGCAATTTACGGCGTTTATATAAGCGCCGGTTGCCGGTTGATTTCCGGGTTGGGTTGGTTAGTTGCGCTGCGCCAGGTCCATCATCCAGGGGACGAAGGCGTTGACGCGGGTGTACACGCCCGGGTACTGGCCGCATCCGATGCCCCATGACACCAGGCCGACCAAGCGCCAGGCGCCGTCCACTTGGCACACCAACGGACTTCCGCCGTCGCCCTGAAAATTCATTGAAAATATATATAATCACCATTAAATGTCAAATCACCCGTATAAATCTTCGAATCCAATAAATCTTTTATTTTATTAAATAAAACAAAATTAACACTGACTCATTGTTAATTAATTAATTAGTAATTAATTATTTTTTTAATCATTATTTTTTTTAACTATTTTTTTATTTTTAACTAATGTATTTAAATATTTATAATTAATGCTCCTTAAATAAGAAAAAATAAAAAATATTACAACATTATTATGGAGGTCGCTTACGGAGCAGGCGTCTTTGCCGGGCAGTCCGGCGCACAGCATACTGGGATGCAGATTAAAATCCGGCCCCAGTTCCGCTGATTGGCGCAGCATGTTCTCGCACTGCCCGTTGCCGATCACCGGCAGGTCCACTTCCCGTAAAATATGCGAAAATCGTGCTCCTGAATTAGCAGTTGTCATTAATTCCCAAATTACACTGAATTAATCAAAATGGAATTTAATATACGTTTAATTTTTAATTTTTTTATTCCACGTATAATAATTACCGGGACGGTGTTTGCCCCAGCCGGTGACGGTGCAGGGCGCCCCGGCGAGATCCCCCGGGGGCGGCAGGCAGACCGGCTTGATGTAGCCGTTGAAGGCGGCCATCCCGTCCAGCACCAGCATGGCGATGTCGTTGCGCAGCGTCCCCGAGTGGTAGCCGGCGTGGATGATGACGCTGCGCACCGGGATGTCCTGGAACGGCGGCTCCTGCGTCTCGGACACGTCGAACTCTCCCAGCCGCACAATCAACGGCTCAAACTTCATCCTGTATAAAAACCCAAACAAAATAAAAAATAAATTCGTAAATAAATAAAAATGAAAAAGAAATAAAAAAATTACAAATCCGGTTTAGATTTATAAAATTTTAACATATAAAGTTTTTACATACTATGTAAACATATATGCAAACATATATATATATAAACATTTACGTATATATTTTTTACATTTATATATTTTACATATACATATTTTTGCATATATATATATTTTTTACATACATATTTTTACATATATATTTACATTACATATACAAGTTTCTTGACATAAATAACAAAATACAAATGAAAATGCAGAGTATGAAAATACAACCGGAAGTTAGCGCTGTATTAGTCAGTGTCAATGTCGGCTTTATATAATATCGCGCGCATGGTTAATTCCGCGTTGATAATTGCCGGGTTAAGTAATAAGCGGCATATATATCGTTCATATATTATATTATATAATTGGCAGCGTGAATGAATTACACAATCATGAGTACGCACTTGGCCACGCAGTGGGCTGCCGTAACCACCAGGTTCACGTCGATGAGGGCGCCGCCGCACACATACGTCAGGTCGCGGCGGAGAATGGCGGCCATCCACGGATACTCCCCGAACTCCGCCACGTTCTCCGGCATCTCCGCATCCAACACCCGCGCCAACGGATTCCCGCCTTTGCGGCCGCACTGCCCCATCGGCAGGATCTGGCCACCTCCGGGGCCGCCGATCGGCACGGGGCGGGGTCCGGCGGGGAGGGGAGGCGGTCCACCGTTGGTGATAACGGGGCGTGGACCGGAGCCGACGAAACCCGGACCGCCGTTGCCGATAAACCCGGGACCGCCGCCGCCGATGGCCGGACCACCTCCGGTGACGATAGGACCACCTCCACCGATCCCGGGGCCTCCTCCGACGAAGCCCGGACCCCCGCCGACCACCGGCCCGGGTCCCGGACGTTGATCAGCACAACACGGGACCGTCCCAATGGCACAGAAGTTCTGCTGGAACCTCCGGGTGCTCCGCGCCAGCCCGGAGATGTCTCGGCAATCGTTGGGCGCCACGCACTCGCAGTTGTCGGGGAGAGGGTTGGGAGCCAGGTTCGGGGCGAAAGCGGCTTGCGGCGGGAGACCTATACGACCAAACCATAGCTCATGATCCGCGTGACCTTTAGGAGGGTTCCCAGCTAGGGCTTAGGAACCCGTGACCTTTAAGGGAGGCGCAGACATACCGTTGGTCTGGGTGATCTTGGTGTTGCTGCTCTGGATGGTGAGGAAGTTGTTCTCCAGGGAGGTGCTGCTGCCGCCGAACAGCTCGTCCAACAGGCCGCGGTTGCGGGGCGAGCTGAGGCGGTTGCGGCCCACCATGACGCGGGCTTTGGAGCGCGAATTGGGCTTGTTGGAGGCGCTGCTGCTGCTCCACACAAAGGAGCCATCGTCGTCTGTGATTTTTATAGAGCTTTATTATTTTACTGTGGTAACCAGAAAATATTAATGAAGTTGCATAATTACTGAAAACTTTTCGAATTTTCCTCTAGTTTTTATATATGTAGTTGCATTACAATATACATATTTTGGGAACATTACTCAGATTATTTTCAGCTTGATTTTTTTAATATTTTATACTTTTAATTTTTTTAAAAATAACAATGCAAATAAAAAATTTCTAAAAGTAATCATTATTATTCATATTTTTATTAGCTTATCGTTATCATTCAGAATTCCTGTAATTATTTCTTACTTTTAAGTGTTATTTTTGCTTAGAAGTAAAAATATTTTCTTACCGTCAGCCAAAACCCGGCACACGCTGATAAACAGTACAGTCAAACACAAGTAAAGGAACATATTCCGTGCAAAAACCGGATAATTTACCGGCAACATTTCAGTATACAATTGTCTCGCTGCGCGCGCTCCACCGATAAACTGAAAGACTTGCGGTTGGTGAAACGAACCGCCAGTCGCAGATCAAAGGGATTTATTACCGAGTGTACATTAGGAACGAAATTCAGGATCAATTCAGGATCAATTCGGTGTATATAATAAATGTACATACAGATATACACCGGGTTGGATAAGAGCCATATAAAAGCCAGCAACTGCCGACTGGATGTTGGCGGTGGAGTTTATATGGCGGCCGACCGCCAGTGATCGGCCTAATCACGGCCAATCGCCGGCCAAGTATACCCATTTGCCATTAAGAATTTCTCTTGGCGCGTGCCAGAATTGGTTCTGAATCAGTTTTCAGTTTTCTTCGGTGTTGGTGTCATTTACGCACCCGGCACCGCGGTGTACCGGTAGATCCGTTCATGCGGGAAATCCTTTACATAAGATCCTTTACACACCGTGTATATGCGTACTATACATTCGACACGGAAGCTATGATATTGTACATAATAATCCTGACCATTCTTATTCATTATTGACTGAGAAAATGTAAACGTCCATCTGTTATTATCGATTTAAAACACTCTCTGGCTATAACCATTCATTTATTGAATTAGCACGTACAGGGTAAACGAAACATTTATTTTCGATTTATCTCATCATTCCAGTTATTATCTGTTACTATGAATTATAATTTACCAACTACGTAGTTATTCTCGATTATTTTAATTAATAATGTAATTAATTTATTTATTTAATTATTTATTTTGGATTTATTTAATTTATTTTCTTGTATTATTTATTATTTTTGCGCTTTTTATTCGTTTTATTGTCGAATTATTTTATTATTTATTAACTATGAATTTATTTTTGATTTGTTTTATTATTTTTGTTTATTTGCCAGTATTATTTATACCAGTATGTTTCCAGTTTCACTACTTCGAACTTCGAAGAACGTATTCGGCATAATTTTGTGATTTGCGCTCGATTTGTGAGAATTATTTACATTATTATCGGTTTAAAACTAGAACCAATACGTGTAATAATAAAAACTGAAATTTCTTTTAACTTTATGGACAATAATGTCGTGTATATTATTGTAGATTAACTGTTCTTTCGACTGCCAATATTTACAAACACCTGGTAATAATTATGAGTGGGCAGGTGTTACTCGGTGTTCTCAGTGCGATGCAGTGTCATGATTACGCAAGAGGATCCAATTAGAGCGATAATCTCCGCACATAGCCATTTTCCTGCATTTTATTGATCTTTAGCGTAAATGTGAGAAAATGAACGCGGCCACGGATGCCCCGCGGCCGGCACCCTCTACGACTCCACCGACACATCAGCCGCGGCAAAAAATAAAATCAACACCGGTATAATGATGTTTTTTATTTATATAACATCAGCGGCCCACATTCTTCACCAACAGATGTATTGTATAAAATTAATACCATTCTGATAAAACGGAATCACTTAATGCCACCATAAAATTAAAAAAAGGTAAGTAAAATAAAAATAAAATCATTACCGTCGCCAAAATCTAATTAACAGCGGTATAACGATGTTTTTTATTATTTATATAACATCAGCGGCGCACATTTCTGCACAAAACAGATCATTTAAATGGAAAAATCTCACCACTCCGTACACAGCCGGGACATGTTGATTGTTCCTTTCAACGCCACACAAGCAGCATCACAAATCACACACACAACAACAACAGCGGACACCATCCACGGAAACTAGAAACAAATCAATGATTTTTCATTTTTATATTTTTAATAACTTTTTTTAATATTTTTTTGGTTAGCTGGGCAGCTTGTGCCGGGCGTAGAATGCGTCCAAGATGCTGACCAGGCGGTGCAGCGCGACGTGGTAGGCCGCCGCGCTGTCCAGCAGCTCGCGCACGGCCGCGGCGTCCTCCGCCTTGTCACGGCCGTACAGCAGCGCCGCCAGGAAGTCCCGCCGCGACGGCAACGCGTACATGGCCACCTGCCAATGCCAACGCAGTTTTTTTCAATTATGAATAGGGCTCAGAATTAAAAAAAAATCCATTATAAATAAAAAAAAAATTTATTTTCAGAATTATTTACAATTTTTAACAGTGATCTTTTATCTTTTTGTGAAAACTATTTTACTTCAAAATCCAATCCAGGAATCAATCATTAACATTAACATTCACAGTTTAATTTTGTGCTCTCTCATTTATGTAGTTGCAAGTTGCAACGAATGTCTTCACTTTGTTTTCCATTTTATTTTTTAACTTCGCTCCGGTTTAGTTAGGTCCTTAATTTTTTATGCCGATTGCCAGTCATATTTTCAATTAAGGTTTCCAAAAATTCAATTTAATTTTTTTAGATTGTCTTAATTCGATTTAATTTCCGGTTACTCCGATTAACTGCTTAATATCTTTATTGAACTTTCAATTTCCCGTCTAAATAAATCCAGGTTCAAAATAAATTCGAGGTTTCAATATTAGTTACTGTTTTAATTAAATTACTGAGCTGCCTATTAAATTCAATTTTTATTCCAATTTATTTTAGTTCAAAAAATAAATACAAAATAAATTCTAAAGAAATAAATCCTTTTCCACGTTAAAAAACACGCATCTAATAAATTCTTAAAATAAGAGATACTTTTTCAAATTAGCAAAATTATTACAAAACAAGTTCATTAACAATCTAATTCTTTTCCATTGACAAAAGTCAAAATAAATCTAAAATACGTTCTTAAAAAATAAATTTATCCCAAATTATAAAAGAATGCTTGACTATGACCGGTGCAGTCAACATCCGGCGCATGCCCACCTGAAACGCGGTCCGCACCAGCAGATTATGCTGCGGCTGCAGCGTCCGTTTATACGCCCGCCCGGCGCACTCCCGCGGCTCGGCCTCCGTCTCCAGCAGCTCCTTCAACAACTCCGCCACAAACCCCAACGTCCGCTTCAGCCACATCAACGCATCACTGGCCGCCGTCAACTGCCCCTCCACAATCCCGTGCCGCTGCATCTCCCCCTCCAACAGGCCCTGCACCGTGCCGCCCACTTCCGGCGCCTCCTCCGCGGCGCGCTGCAACTTCCCGACGTTGCCCAGGACGTCGGCCTTGACGGGGGCCAGAGCGCGGCCGCCCAGCAGCTCCAGGATGGTCAGCATCTGCCGGCAGGCCTCCAGGAACTCGGGGGTGCTGATGCGGTCCGCGGGGTCGATGGGGACGCGCGGGAAGGACATGGGCATGTGCGAGAAGACGTTGGGGTGCCGGGGAAGGGGCGGGGAGGCCGTGGGGGAGGAGCAGGACGACGGGATGTCCAGCTACGCGGGAAAATCGTTCATTTAAATTTTCGTCTTTTTTGTTTATTTATTTTATATTATTTCTTGAATTTAGACTGATTGGTATTAATTACTGGGCGCTCACTTATTAATTTTTCTGTTATTTCCACTACGCATTCATAATTATCTGCACTGAAGAAATTTTGTTTACACTTATTTGTACGCGTCGTAATGTGCATTTTACATTGTCCATTTATGCGTGTGCACTTTCGTTAATTTTATCTCATTCATAAACATTTTGTTGATTAATATCTAAATTTATTTGCATTTTTTCTTTGATTTATCTCGTATATTAGTTTTATGAGTTCTTGTCAACGACTGTGTCATACTAGATGAGCTATTGCACAAAATAAATGCTACATAATAAAATAAATAAAAAATACACGCGACATGATAGGATAAAATACAGATATTTTTAAAGTAAAAAGCATCTGCCAGAAAAACTCACGGTGTCGTCGTCGACGGGCGGGTGCAGCGGCGGCCCGCCGCAGGCCCTCTCCTCCTCCTCGTCAGCATTCTCGATGGCCTCGCGCAGTTCACTCTCCAACGCCTGCGCAGCACACGCCAACGTCACGCACTCCGATCGAATAATAATACTTAGTATAATTAGAAAAACTCCAGCAGCTGTCCTAATCATCCACTGCCGCAGCCCGAAGCTCACAGATCAGCGCTCTCGTATAAATAAAAATCTGGACTGAATTTAGTCAATTTACGCCACGTAGCTATTATTGATGATACGTGTGGAAATTGTTGCTGTGAAACGGTGATAATTATTCATAAAATAGTATTCTGATTATCAATTTTTTATAATTATAATTATCAATTTTTTTACGACTTTTCTTTTAAATCGCGTAGGTTAGAGCACTGGAGAAACACGAAGGAAATTCTCTGATTTTCACGGCTTGAAACAGTTGCAACCGCTCGGTGCGGCAGTGTAAAGCGAATGTTATTAGGAAAGTTTTTTGAATATAAGAAAATTCCTCATCTTTTCCTTTTTGATGACAAAACCACTTTCGTAACAACAAAATTAATTTATACTGCTACTATTAGGAAAAATTGCACTAAAATCGCAGAAACTATTCTAAACGATAAAATGCATATTCTGGAAGCAGAAAACGTAGAAAAACAAGACCTCGGTAATAAATCGAACGGGAAGCTGCAACAGTGCTCAGGTTAAGCGTAAACAACACTGATTGTGGTTAAAGCACCGAACGCTGCAGAAAGTCCAAACGGAATGAAAAGTCGACGAAAATCTGCCAGATACAGTACCTGTTGTTGTGTGGAGAACCAAGGTCCTTCGATGCGTCCCGCGGGGAAGGAACGCGAGGCCTTCTTGGGGGACTTGCCAGGGGAGGAGGCGGCCGGAGTATCCTGCGATGTGGAGGGGTGAGGGGCGGCCGCCCGTGCGGAGAGCGCGGTCTACAGATAGAAGATCAAGCGTCGAACAAGTTTTGTTGCAGTTGGAAGGATTAAAAGTAGCGACACCTACGGGCGACACAAACCACGGTCCCTCCACGTAGCCCGGCCGTTTGCTGGCGCTGTTGCTAACTGCGAACGACAAACAGCGTCCCGTTAGATTCTGCGAACATATAGTGAAGAAATAATGGGATGTGAAATTAGGGGAAGAGCGTACAGTGCAGACGGAAGGCATGCCAGACGGAGGAATGCTCCGTGTGTTTGGTGTTCTGCGTCTTGGCGCAGCGCTTCTCCGCTACCGAGGAGTGCTTCATGTCCCGTTCCACACTGACAATCTTTCGTATAACACACTGATCAGATTTCACAACAACGACAATCAGAGTAATGGTTCAGCCGTCAAAAAAGCTTGATCGCAATAAACAGCGAATTTTAACAGCAATCTGCACTACAATCTGAATCATTACGAACGGATATTGCTCTGCAGTTGCAACGTGTTACAACGTGTAAAGTGCAGCGCAGCATTGGACGATCTGCAATTCTGCACCGATGTAGCGTCCGCGGGCGGTTGGATGCCGTACGACTTTACATTACAGTTTACAGACAGCCGGAAGTTGGTGGCTGGTACTGGCTGCTCTACAGTACAGCGCCAATCGCACAATGTTAGAATTATTTTTTCTGGAACACCGATTACCAAGTTGCCCGTCTACCAATGGGACAGGCACATGGAAATTAATAGACAGCTATCGTCTGTAACTGTAAGCGAGTTACGAATCAACAAATGCCATCGTGGTTTGACATTGTATAGTCAAAGGATCTGTGTAGTGCGTACATGAGCGTGAAAATCGTATGTGCAGTTAGTGCAACATCCGCTTGGAGAGTTGTGGATGAAATAAAACCACAAAACCAAGTTTACTCAATCGCACATATGCGAAGTGGAAACTTTTTCGAACTCAGCAAAGTGTGAATATATATTTATGTCTTTCAAATGTCTAAAAAGCATCGCGTATTACTCAGCATCAAACAACGAATCCTTACAGTTTTATGATTATTTTCATTCAGTGCCGTGTACTACCGTATCTAGCTGTGCAGTATCCTTTACGCATCCTCCACATGTATGGATCACACAAGGATAACAACCAACCAACCAGCCAACCAACAAGAAAACATATGCAATAACACAAGAAAAATAAGAAAACTGAAGAAACCTAAGAAAACTAAATGGGATACAGATTATACGAATCACGCGTTACAGGAAGGATACTACCAAACGCGTGAGGTTACTGCATATGTACCTATATGGGATGCTCTAAATACGTGTAAAAAATGACTACGTTTAACAATATTCGCAATACGTACAGACTACAGAATACTAATCAAAAATGGTGTTTGCATGCGTATCACCATTCGAAAGCCATGGTATCGGCCACCGTATCACACGGTCACCACCTCTACGTAGTTTTCATGAATCCTCCTGAATGTAGCGAGGAAGTTATCAGTGAAGATATCAGTATCCTTACGGTATCCGTCGTGTATCTTTCAGGTATCCGGAGTAAGTTTTCTGAGGTTTCCTACGGGTTGTGGAATACATTCGGGATACATAACGGCAGGCCCGTCTTTAGCTTTTTTGGAAGGGGGGTGGGCAAAACCTCGCGCCAGCTGCGCCAGTTGGGAAATGGCCGAAAATTTCAGGAAAAACGTAGAAAAGTGGCTCAAAAAGCCACTTTTCTACGCTTTTCTATTGTAATTTTCGTTGCGCCAGCTCCCGGCACACCTTTTTCCCGCTTTCTCCCTCCGGGAGGGGGGGGGGGCGCGCCAGTGCGCCCACCCTTAAAGACGGGCCTGCATAAAGGATACTGAAGAGATACAATGCGATAGGGCAGTGACTCAAAAAACAGTACAAAATTTAAAGGTCATACAAAGGATACGTGGACGATACGGCAGGATATTGTGGATACAAGGCCGACCACATGCCCGGAAAAAAAAATTTAACGTGTACTAACCGTGCCATAGGTTTGATAATTACGCAGAAATTACCGATAAAATTATTAACTCCGTAATGTAAAGCAAGGCGATGTATCGCAGAAGGCAAAAATTGCATGCCGTTTCTTAAGACGTTACTGGACAGTGAACACATCAAAAACATTCGAACCCCAATAATATTCCACATAGGTGAGTATTGCAATATGTCGCCTGATGGCTCAGGTCGCAGACAAAATTAGTTAACCACAATTTATAACGATAGCAGACGCTTTCTTTAGTTTATTCCATGCGGCAATGATCATGATTCACGAATGCCTCGGTTCCTACGGCGGCGTTAACTGCCGAACAGCGAGCAAATATGGGTTTCGAGGCGAGGAGTATTTGTCATTCTTATAATTACATGGCTACACGGGCTGGGCGGCTACGCTTCAGTCATGAACACCTCAGTGATCCCGTAGACGGCCAGTTTGCTCAGTTCGAGCGGATCCACGCGCGCCAAATTAACGGCCCGCCATGATCTCGGTGTGCCGTCGGGGTAAAAACCATTGAACCTGTAAGACGGGCAATTCTTACGACGAGAAGAGCTATCGAGCGAACAAGACTTACAATGATAGGTAGCTGCGAATTCTATCCCATTGAGACCGATAGAACAGGTCGCGCGTCCAACGCGCATAAATCGCCTTGACCTTTGCACGCATTTCCTGGGTAACCGGCGGAAATCTGTTGTTAGCAGCGCACATGAATCGACTGACCATCTCCGGCTGGCCTTCGCGGCAGTCCAAAACCACTCGTGGCACCGTGATCTCCAACTTATCAATGGTCAGCTCGTGGTCCCATCCCAGATGCCGCATTAAATTCCTTTCCCTCTGTGGCAGGTAGTGCATACTGAATTCCGACTTGTTAAAGATTTCGTACATGGGTCGGCCAAAGAGATGGCTGACTGTCCAGTTGTGCAGCACAATCCGTTCACAGTGATTTTCCAACATGACGACATCGGTCATGATGGGATGATCCAGGTGGAACTTCTCCTCGCACAGAATCCATTCACAGCTGTCCATGATAAAATCCTTCAGGACGATCAGGGGCAGGAAAACGTTCACGGCTTCCATGGCCTCCAACAAGAGCAGCAGAAATAGCGAACGATCGCGGAGAGAGCGCGTCATTATCGTCAAGCTGCGGGTCGCGGCGGTGATGGTGCGCGTGAGGAGTGCTGTCGCTCTAAAGCAGTTGTAGTTGTCGGACGTGGTTTTTTTGGTCAGACTGTCCAAATATATGCGGACGTGCTCGGTGGTGTGGGGACGGTTGAGGAGTTCGCGCCATAATGGGCACACTCTGTTCAAAGCGCACCAGTTATTGGTAATTATGGCTGGGATAAGCCGAAGCTCGGAAGAAACGCTGTGCACTGAATTACCGTTTGAGCTTCATCACTGAATGCAGATCCAGGTAGGAAAAGATTTCAGTGAAGATCCAGTACGGCAGATTAGATAGCACGGCCCCGGAACAGGAGTGCTCCATTCGGAAATCTAAAATTAATTAAAAATTATCACTTATGTGCGGGAATATGAATAAACATTTACGGCTTATAATAAAAACAGGTGACCACTGCGTTCACAACCTCCTGAGCTACCTAGCCTTCACTCCGTGCACGACGCTTTTGTTTTTTTTTTGTTTTCACGGTTTCGCGTGGGCAAAAATGGGAGGAAATTTGCGACTGATTTCCTGCGTCATGATTTTCTCGAGTTCGAAAAGATTGCACAATAAAAATTTGAATACTCGTAGTGGTCTCGTACATGCCTGAATTCCTAGGATCTGTGAGATGTCTACGAACTGAATGTGATTTTCGGAGATAACATACTTAATGCATTTTAGCCTATCACATAATTATGTGTACTTCGCTTACTGCCTTATATGGGCTCCCCTCACATTACTCTCCCTTATCTGGGCCCCCGGCTAGTGAGCAATACCCGTCAAATTATTTATCGGATTTAAGCAGAACCCTTTTCTACTTCTTTCAACCGGATTTACAAGTGAGCTCACCAAAGAATTCCGAAATTTCACATCCGAATTATATTTATATAATTATATTATCTATATATTTTTTAATTATATCTTATTATCTATATATATCTTAATTAAATTAAAATACACTCAATGCTGCAAAAGTACTGGCGAAATAAGTTTTTTAAATAAATCTAAATTTTCATACAGTCATAACACTGATAACAGCTGCAAAATTGTGAGTAGTAACGTAACCGCCGATATAGAGGGTTGCTCATATTGCTCGGGAGCCCAGATAAGGGAGAGTAATATAAGGGGAGCCCATATAAGGCAGTAAGCGAAATATGCACGTTCTGTGAAGTACGTGTTGTCTGTTCTGTTACGACTCGCTGTTCTTATCTAACTCGTTTGATCGTCAGTTCATCAGCGATTCTGGTTCAGCTAAATGATTACTAATCAGTCTGCAGTTCCTAAAACTAAACCTGTGAATTTTTTTCTAGCTGAAAGGTCGGTGTGACTGTGGCTTAGGACGAAGTTCATTTCATTCTCGTTCTGTTCTGTTTGCGGTGTTCGTTCAGTTTGGTGATTAAACATTTGGAAACTTCCTGATTATTTCGGTTTCGGTGAAAGTTTTTAGGCACGGCGATCCACTTGTACCTAGCGAAAGTCGGTAGTTTCCGTATTACTTACGGAGTCCAGAGCATATTCCCACTCTACCGATTCAGCAGGTTTGGTCATCTAGTGCGGTAATCGCGTTACAATTTCCGCATAGCATGCGACCATTGCGGGATAAGCTAGTGCACGGAATGAAGAAGTAAAAGGCAGTGCGAAAGGTTAATGTTATGCAAGAGGACAGCCTATCAACACCCACCTGCTGAATAAATACTGATTTGCTTGTTGGAGCCATCCTCAAAATTAATCGGCAGCAAATCAGCCCGGGTGGCTAGATGCCTCTCCAGCACTGTCGACAGCTTCGTAATGGTCATCTGTTGCGAATCCGCGCTCGGTCCGACACCGGCGACCACAAACATACAGCCACTGGCTTCGGTGCGCAGGTGAAACCGCCAACAATCCGTCACGTCTGTCAGCGCTGTATCGTTCTCAAACGCTTCGCGAAAAAGTTTAATAACGCGCGATCTGTCAGCCGGTTCGCTCAGGATCTGGTTCGCCATGGCAAAGGGAATAAAATGCTTCGTATACACCAGCCCGCTGTTACGGTACAGCAACGCTGGCTCAGAGAACCACTCCAGACCGAGGATTTGACAATTTTCCACCAACTCGATGCGAGCGCTGGCGGATTGTCCGCTGGTATGGTTTGTCATACACTGGACATTGGTCTGGACGTAATACATAAAATTTGGGTAACCTGGCGTAAATGCTTTGAGTACGAAAACCGACTGGAAGCGGAACGGTCCGTCGTCGACGTCGCGAAGTGCCGCAAAAATTGATCGGTTCTCGTGATTCCGGTTACCTTTGCACCACGGGACAGGGTAGACACTCCCGG